GGAATGATCTAAAATCCGGACCTCAAAGCCACCACCAACCAATTGCGCATTAGATTTTTTTCCTCATCATAAAAAAAACATGTCGGAAATCCCGATTCTTAATCTCAGTTTGGCGCTAAATAAAATACCTCATTATTGAAGAAATAATTATTTTAGCATAAATTTGTGTGATTAGTAACTTGACTCCATAGCTGTATCTGCTTGGCATAATCTCAAACCGAAACATTCGTTAATTTTACACCAACTAATATTTTATATCTTTGATGCCGAAATCGCGAATCATTATTTATTGTATTTTGCTTTCATCACTGCATGTTTATCAACGGATGACAACTTGAGTGATGATGAATCATGCAGCGATGCCAAATAACAGAGTATTATCCGATTACAGATTTAAGTTTAATGCGCTAAAATGTTGACAAGGGGAGATTTAGCAGAAATTTCTTTCCTTATGCTAAAAATAGATTTTGTTAATGATACTCATAGGACAAACAATTATATTTAGTGCTATTTGAATTAAGAATAAGTGATTTGTTATTCACATAAAGCCAGAACCAGCGCCAGAGCTCGCATGGCCGCACCAGGCGGCAGAATTTAGCGAAGTTAAACAGAAGTTTTCCATTGCGATGACAATGCCCAATCATCAATCAATTAACGGAGGGCAAAATCTGTAATATGGTTCTAAATCCAGAAAATACAGCTACCGATAGTGAAGAAAGTAACAGAGAGGTTACTGAACGAGAAAAAATTTTGATTGACAAGTTATTCGGAATTCTCGACACAGCAATTGACTTGAACAATGGAACTTAATAACTGAACAAGATATTATATGTCTATAGTATTAGTCTAAAGTATTAGCAGAGAAAACAAATCAAACAACTCACATTGAAAGAAATGTTTAATAAAGTAAACATATAAATATTAAGCTCTTTTCTTTTGTAAATTTTGATACCCTTTAAATCATAAATGCTTCATTATTTCATAAATCACGATTTCATATTTTCAATTTTATAATTTCTATGTGCCATCTTAGTAGATTTAAAATGATCTATATCCGACAAATCTCAAATCTGGGATCGCCGAAGTCCCGACGAGTCCAGACCTCGACTTTACTGTATAAAATTAATATAAATCGGAATGCATATTTCAGTTAAACTTCTACCCATAACTTTAGTAATTCTAAAGTTAATTTTGCATCTAGTTAATTCAGGAAAATTAGTTTCAATTAGCTGTTTTCAGCTTTAAAAATATAAAAAAATTAGTTGTTTTCAACTAATAATTGCATCACTCACCATTAGCAAAAATAATGCATCACTATCAACAACAGCTTTTTTTTGGGGGGGAGGGGGGTTGGATCGCTAAAACTTGGTGAATGTTATCTCTTAAGAATGCAATATTAAAATTTAATAACATTCTTCTGAAAGCAGCATTCCTTTTATAAAATACTTAATTGTCTATTGAAACTTCAAAACGTATTTCCAAACTTCACTTTTTTTGGCTATCGTTACCAAATTTGCCCTTGGCGACCTAAAATCGAAATGGAGCCAACAGATTCCCCGAATCGATAACAGACCCTCTGCAGAAATAAACTCTAATCCCGATTCCCATACATATTATTTCAGAGAAAAACCTTCTAAGTTTTTAGTAAATTTCATAATTTTAATTTTTATTCAGTTATTTAATTAGTTGCAGCTTTAAAAATAAAATTTTTATATTAAAATTTTTAACTATATTAAAACAAAATCTTTAGCAAAGCAAAACCATTACTATCAAAAACAACACTAGGTTTAAACCAAATACTAATTTCATTGAAGCTCTGAACGACCTAAATCGGAATGGAGCCAACAGATTTTTGCGATACCCGAAACACCCCTTGCCCTGCAGGATTACTCATAATCCCGAGATCCCAACAGATATAGTACGAAATCAAAAGAGAACAGAAACCCCGTAGGTGATAAAAACTCATATGCTTAATTGAAACAACATTTATTTTAACAAATGGCCTTAACTCCGTAGAAGGTCATCAAAAATTAATTTATGGCTTAATTCAAACTAACACAGAAATTAAGGCTAAGCAAAACCATGTAAAAATAAATCGAAATGATAAAACGAAACTTAAGCTTTCATGTGAATTTTCAACGCTGACTCTCCCATTCTAGAAATTTTCAATTTTGTTTCAGACAAAAGACCCCATTTAGCTTTATAAGGATTGTCATCCATCAATATCCAGTCTTGTAGTAACCACAGCTTGATGAAGCCACAGTTTATTGAAAATGCACTTTCCAGGCATCTCGTTCCTATTGGCATCGGAAGGGTTGTGGCCTTCCAGGTTGGGATTGCTCTAATTTTAGCAAATATTTTCAGAATCTCCCCCCCCCATTTTTTTTTTCTCGAGCACCTTCATCATCACTTTCACCTCTTAAAGAACTTCCAGCTTTACGCTTTTGTCACAGTCTGCCTAAATTTATGGATAACACCTGTTTCAAAAGATTGCGTGAATAGCCAATCAGACACCGATACTTTCATTCGGGTAGCTAATTGTTTTTTTTAATCGTTTGCAACGCAAATTCGCCAACAGATTGGTTAAGAACCGTGTAATTTTAATTCCATATTCATGAGAAATCGTAATTCACACTTAGAATGGCAATCATTAGAAATGATAAGAAATGTCAAATGAACGAAATTAAGGACCGTTTATTCATTTTGGCCAAAATTAAGGACTTTTAAGGACCAAAAATCATTTTTGAAAAAATTAAGGACTTTTAAGGACCGTACGAACCCTGTCAACCATAAATGGATAAAAATGCCTTTATAATATACTTCGAACTTTTCTTTTTAAATAGTCTATGGCAGCATATCACAAGGAGACCCAGAATTTTTATTTTTGATGTGTTATTAAAATCCACTTATTTTCTATATTTTTTGGTGATACAAAAAATGTGTTTGAAAACCAATTTCTGTATAAATTTGATGGCTGTACTCTATATTATTTGTTATGTATTTTTCTACATTTTTAATACAAAAAGCATGTGTAGAATCATTGAATAAACGCTAATTCCATTAGCGGGAACACTGCGCCTTTAGTGAACTCATGCTATTATGCATCACAACATCTGTCTTAGAAAAAAACATCTCTTGTATATGTTTTCTATTTCCATTGTTTTGGGAGAATGAATTCAAACAAAGCAGTCTTGAGGGGTGAGGTATGGTTTGTGCTATGAAAGCCCTAATCTGGGCATCTTGAAATTTTTGTGAGTAATTTTCAGGCGGGATTTTTATCAGTAGCTCGAGTCATCTTTACTTAGAGCTGCACGAATTTTTTGCTGTCGCTTTTTAGTCTCAATCTCGTTTACTGTCAATAATTTGTGTAGATATTTTTTTTTTTTTTTGTGTGTGTATATCTTATAGCTTATTTTTCTTTACTGTTAGTTTTAATTGTAGTTAATTTTTTATTATTAATTTTCCATAAATGGTGCAGAGAGGTCTAACTCTTTCCGAAGAAGTAAAAGTGCTTCATGAATTACCTTCTTATTCTGAATCAGAGCATGAAGATAGCAGCGATACTGAGATATATGCTCCTGAACCACTTGTGTAATCCTATTGTGATATGTCGGATGAAACTCATTTATTTGATGAGAAGGTTGATGATCCATCTTACTCAGGCCCCTCTACGCAGCCTCAAGTTTTTACTTGGAATTCTAAACATATTGTTGCACGGAATAAGAAGCCACACAAAACAAGTTTTACGTTCAAAACCTGCAAAGTTGGTTTGTGCTTCTATCAAAAAGGTGCAACATGCTTTGAACAATTTCACAAAGCTAAGAAAATGGAAAATTTGTAAATATCTTTGTATATAGGACTTGTGTATATACATATATTTATATCATTTATCCATGTTTATTCAAGAATGTTGTGTATATCCAGAAAACCATGTATACAGTCATAATACAAAATATTTTCATTACTATAAAAACACTCTTACTCATTTCCGTGCTTCACTGAAATGCTCGCTTAGTCGCACTTTTAATATATCTGGCGGCGCACTGTTCCACCTCATGGAACATTCACAGTATTATAATGGTAAATACAATTTATACAAAATTTTACCTGTATACTCCTTTAGGCCTAGATAGACTGCATACGACTTTTTTGTTGAAATTCCGACTTTAAAGTATAGTGCACCACTAAGGGTTAAATCAGGCAAAACAAATGCGGAACTTTTTATGACACAAAATAGCAATAACTTGCCTTTAAATATCTACTTCCATGTTGCAACTATGTCCCCTGGCAAGTATAATATTTCAGGCATCCACATAAGAGAAAACTGAAAGGTGTTAGATCAGGCAACATCTATAGAAATTTTAATGACATGAAATGGCAATAACTTTCCTTTAAATATTTACCTCCCTGTTGCAACTATGGTCCCAACCTTTACTGTATTCTTTTAAACATGTGATTAGTCTTGTTTTAGTTGTATTTTATCATTTGACACTTTTAAATGTATTATTTTTTTATTGGTCAGAAAAATTTTGAGAAATAATGACAAAGATGCTATCAGCTCCTTTTAGAGTCACAGAATGCTTTAATTTGCATAAAGTAAAATTATTCATCATTTAAGAAACAATATTGTGGAAGTGTAACAATAAAAAAATGCAGACTGATGTATGGTAAGAATGTGAACTGAAAATCATTTGTGAGAAATAGGATCACATTTACAATACCTATTCAATTTATTTACAGTTGTTGCAGAGCAATCTCAATCAGATTTTGCCAAGTAAAATTGTACATGATAGATAAAACTGTCATATAGTGAAACAGTTAAAGAAATTTACGTTATTAAAATAGAGGAAGAACTGAAAGCTCCACCACCCAAATGAAGTTCCGGGTACCCACATCACACCAAATTTATTTTGGCATTCAGTTTGCAGTGGTGAAAAACATATAAGTACTAAAACTGTTTATGTAGTAGGAAGTATACTTAAAGATGTAATTTAAATTACCTGTAGACAGAGTTTGTGGGAAATTTTCTCACAAGACCAACGAGACTGAGAGAATTAAAGAGAACTTGTTCATAAAGTAGCCTGTTTTGAGGAAAATGAGCTGGAGAGAGATTGGGAGACATGTTAACCTGCAAAAAAGGGGGGAAAATAATTTTTCCCATTTTTTTATATTAAAATCATATAATGTTTGGTACTCACTTACTATCTACATACAAAGTGAAATGTTGCAAAAAAGTATTCATGAGGCAAAGCAAAATATTGCAAAAAGAATTCATGTGGCAACCAAAGTATGCGCATAGCATGTCTCTTTTGGGCGGTGTGCAATGCCACATTGCATTGATGCCAAGTTTGTGTAATTCTCCGATTTTTTAAAGCAAAAACAGACCACTGCATACTCGAAAATGGCTGTTGCCTTTCGCATATTAGCTTGCTGAAAAATAGTCACCAACAAGTTTGTGAGTTTTCAGTGGGAATGCAGATAATTAGAAAGTACCAAATAGTTTATTATTTTTTAACACAATAATGAAACAGGAAAACATTTATTACAAAATGACATAAATCTCTCATATACCGAAATTTAAAAATAAAATCATAAAATAACTCTTAATAAAATAACTTTAAACCTTTGTTAATTTGTACCTAAAATATAAAGAAAACCATTATATATACATTATGTTATGAGAATAATAATAAAAATAAAATAAATAAATAAATATAAATAAAAATTAAAATAAAATAAACAATTATTTCAGATCCATATTCAGAAATTTAAAGGAAAAAAAGAACCAGGTACTTAAATGCTAAAAAAGATTTTAATAGATACAATAATTAATTGCACTTAAACTTCATTCATATATATTTCCTAGATACATTTTAGATAATTAAATTTCCGTTGTATTTTTTCAGGATGGAAAAACTTTTTTCTCTATTTGCTTGCATATACTTATAGACCATTTAAAAATTTCCACAGCTTCTCATTTTAATCATATTATTGCACACTGTTGTTTGCTTGAGTTTCTATACATTTTAATAAAGTTGAAAAAATATTTATAGGAATTTTTCTTTTCTGTTTACACTATTTTTATAGCTACACTGATGTTTTTCATAGGTATTGAAACTTCAATAGTATTAAAATGGGTACTACAAAAACTAAAGCAAACAAAAATTATATTTATAATAACAGTTTTTATAATTTTTATGGTTATGTTCAAAACTTGAGTTCAATGCTTTGAGATTAATGTGCTGTATTCTTTGACTAGAATATTCCAATGCTTTTCCATTTCTTCATGTATCATTGTTAGGACATAATTATAATAATACTATAATGGCCATATTACCTACATACACATATATTTTAAATTTATATTTCTACTATTTTAGTATATTTCCTTTCTGAAAAAAGAAGGGAAGGGTAAATATCATATTTAAAAGATTTATATTAATATAACATTTTTTAAAGACTTACACACAAAATTTTGATATGCTATGTGAAAATAAAATATACTTAAAATATATACATATATTACCTCTAATAAATAAATGTTCAAGTTTTCATCTAAAATAAAGTCAAATCTGACTAACTCAAAAAAGTTTCTGAAAGAAAGGGAAAAAATATAGATTATTATAACATACTCTAGTAAATTCCTCAACCCAGTATAAAAGTAGTAAAGAGAAAAAAAGAAAAGTTTACCTTAAATTTCCAAGTATCATAGCACTTCTTTTCATATCAGCTTCGGTTTCAAAATATACATCAAGTATAGTTTCATATATTTGAGACCATATTTTCTTTGTGCCTTTCCCTTGGGGAAACAAATTAAAACAAGTGCAAATATTCTTAGAAATTCATTCAAAATATGCAAAAATTATAAACTTGATTCCAGAACAAAATTTTTTGCTAAGTCATCTGAAACATATAATATATATATATATATATATACATTTTAATAGTCTGTGTGTATATATATATATATATATTTTTAATAGTGCGTGTGTATATTTTAATAGTGTATATACACTGCTCCACATTGAAAATACAACACCAAGAAGGAGTGGTCAGAAATTTATGCAAATTTTAGAATAGACGCACGTCACCGAGTTATGTGAATGATTTGAAATGCGCAGCTCTCCGACGCACGTGAAGTAAGATATAAGGGAAGGAACGTGCACAATGGGCAATATTCGTGTCGTTATTTCTGCCAGAAAAATTATCAAAGAAGGTTGGTTTTTGTTCCAGAGGATACGTATAAGAGGAGAGAATGCCAGGCCCCATCAATGAAGGCACTTCCAGTAGATAGATGATTTTACGAGGGGTATGGTGATTGGACTGAGAAGGGCGTGTTGGTCCTTACGTCAAATTGCAGCTGATACCCACATGGATGCGAGCACGGTGCATCAGCTATGGCAAACATGGTGGGAAGAAGGAGGGGTGCAGGTGCAGCCAGAGTGACATCAGCATGCGTGGATCGACGCATCGGCTGACAAGCTGTGACGATCCTGCAAGTCACTTGTCACCGTGATTCTGCAGCATTTGCAAGATACCCTGGATGTTCCCGTGTCGACCAGAACCATTTCCTTTCGATTCGTTGAACGTGGCCTGCACTCACGGCATCCGTTAAGAAGACTGCCATTGACCCTACAGCATAGACGGCAACGTTTAGAATGGTGCCAGACTGGAGCAATGTGGATAACAGAATGGCGAAACGTTGTGTCACAGATGTCTCAGATGAGTCATGCTTCTGTTTATCCAGTGACAGTCGCCGCATACGTGTGTGGTGTCGACAGATCTAAGCCGGCAGTAACTGTGGAACGCCCCACCGAACGACAGCGTGGCATAATGTTTTGGGGCGCTATTGCCTACGATTCCAGGTCAGGTCTAGTTCGTATTCAGGGCACTATGACGGCCCAACAATACTTGGAAAATGTACTGCGGCCGGTCGCAATCCCCTACCTTCAGAGGCTGCCTAATGCAATTTTTCAGCAGGATAACATCCGACCACAGAGTGCTTGCATATGCCAACATGCTCTGCAATAAGATCACTTATTGCTCCTTGCTGTCTCTGTCTTTTTTTCAAATTTCATCACTTTCTGACCACTCTTCTTGGTGTTGCATTTTCAATGTCGAGCAATGTATATACACTATTAAAATACTTATTTAATAGTTATTTATTATTTACTAAATAAAAATTTACAATTTTAAATATTTAATCAAAAACACATATTTTAAAAGATTTCAAACTAATGATTCAATATAATAAAAAGTTTCAAAATACAGATTCCAGAAGTAAGAATAACCTGAGAATCTAGACTACATAAAATAATAAACTGTGTAAATTTAAGGTCTGTAATTTTCACATGTATTAACAAGTTCTCTCTAGTGAAATGCTGATAGCTTCATCTGGCAACATTCATCATCGATAGTGACAACTTTGAAATTTCACATCAGTAATTTAAATTGAACATTTTGAAACAAAAATTTCTAATATTTCATAAACTTTAAGACTTGTAACAAGATTCATCAATGACTAAATTTTATAACTTGATTTTTCTCATATGTTTAAATTTTTCTAAAGAGTAGTCATATAAATAAACACATGCATTATCAATCAATACAAATTATAAAAATATTTGTGAATAGTGGGCAAAAATTTTTATAAATGTGTTTTATTCCTATTTAATTCTACACTTAAAAAAATAATACTTTATCAGAATAAATAAAGCCCTAGCTGACATTAGTATTAAAAAAAATTGTCTGCAAGTTATGGAATATATGCTGAACTTTAGCAACAGCAGTAGTTAAATATTCATCATGTTTTTTTGAATTAAGTATCAGGAAATATTTTTAATCTTACAGAAATTGAACATCCATATCTTTGTATTGTGTTTATTTGTAAATCAAGTTGGTTCTAAAGCTTTTTTATGAGAGAGTTGAAAATAACAAAAGTTACTCAGAATTACTAACCTAAATTGCTTTCACAGTGTGGATCAAAATTTTGGATAACAAATTCCAGAATTTTGAACCATATGTTTAAATGATTGAATTATAGACTCAATTTTATTGTTAATTCAAGGGATTAATTGGAAGATACACAAACAAAAGCACAGCAATTAATAGTATAAATGGGATTGCTACCATTCTCACTTCACCGCATACTTTTGGTCCTTAGGCCTAAAAACCTACAACAAAGACTGCTAATGGTACTTGCATATTATCTCGTCAAAACAGATGATTAAAATTTGGGACCTGCCTTCCATAGAAAGCAATATATTATTTTCAAAGTTATGGGATACTGTTAACAAATTAAAAAAAAAAAAAAAAAGATTGATTTGAACAGAACTTCTGATAAAATGAAAGGACCTAACAATACAGTAAAAATCAATGAAAGCCTTTTCATGAAAAAAAAAAAAAAAAAAAAAAAAAAGTGGGTTGAATACTCATTATTTATTACATAAAGAATGTCACAGGAACGACTGACACAGTTTTGGCATGATCTCTACCAACTCTCATGATCTGATGATAGCCAACTTACACAGTCAGTAAGGTAATAAATACATCAGTACCCTGCTAAAATCTTTGGAATTAATGTTCTAGCTACCAGTAAGTTCAAGAAAGAAATATTGGCTTTTGGTGATGCATAATTTCATAAAAAAATAATAAATATTTTGTATTCACAGACAAAAATCACCTTCAACATAAGAAAAAAATCTATTATATATCAGAAAGCATGAAAATCTTTTATTATATATTAGAAATAGACAGCCTATTTCAGATTTTAAGTATAAAAATTTATGCCTTTGGAAGTAGATAAATAACTCTAATAATTATTACTATTGTTACGAAATGTACAGGCAAAATGTCAGGGAAAAACAATTGTAACAACTGGTGTCAGAAGTGGAATTTGTGAGTGAATGCGAGTGACCCGCCTGCAGAGGAAAGCCATGGTGAGGAGAAAGAAGACTTTGATGGACTTTTTAGCCGAGATCAAAACCTGGGAAGAAGGGATGAAATCCAGATATGCTGAGATAAAAGCTGGATATGATGAGATAAAAGCTGGATATAAAGAGATGACAGCTGAAATCAAAGCCGGACGGAAAGAGATGAAAGCCGGACTGGTAGAGAAGAACGCCCGACGAGAAGAAATAAATGTCAGCCGCGAAAAAGTCTGAGAGCAACTCCAGGTGAAAGTCGAGCTTCCATTAGAAACTGAAGCCATAAAAGATGATGTGGAAATGAGACAAGTGGCATCTGAAGAATCAAAGGATGAAGAAATGAAGGAAGTAGCTAATGAACTGTCTGAGAAAGATCCAGAAATGAAGGATGAAATATCTAACGAGATTAAAGACAGAGATCGAAAAGGTGAAGAAATGAAAGACGGAAAAGCTATGTATTTGTTAGAACCCAGCCTCTGTTGTTATTTTTCTTTACATAGTTTATCACTGTAAGAGTGGCAACCATCTGATCTTTGTTGTAGTTTCTTGTCGTTCTACGAATTTTGAAAATTAATATGATGCTTTTGGAATTTTATATGTAAAGTTATTTTATTTTAAGTTTATTAGGAGAACAGTTAGTTTTTGCAAATCTCGAACAATTTTGGTGACGACGGAAGTGATCGGTAAAACAAGTCAAGGTAATTTTATTGGTTTTATCGAATTTAATTCTATTTGATTTTAGTGAATTAATTTTTATAGAAATGGAATCGTTAATTGAGAAATGAAAACCTGTCAGAGCGTCTTTTACGAGAACAATTAATGCAATTTTGCAGGAATTAGAAAAGGAAATTCCTGATGAAGAATTTATAAAAACAAAACTTGTTACTTTAGAATGTTTATCTGTTGAACTTAATGCATTTGATACTCAAATATTAAATTCCGAATTTTCTTCAAATGATCAGTTTGAAAATGAATGGGTGAAAATTGAAGAATACAAAGAAAAATTAGATTTAATACGAGTAAAAATGGAATTATTCTTCAATCACCAAATGATACAATCTACTAGCAGTATTTCTCCCAATTCGAACAAACGGAAACTGAAATTACCTAAAATAGAGTTAAAGCAATTCAGTGGCGAAATTAACGATTGGTTACTGTTTTGGGGACAATTTCGCTGAATACATGAAGATAAAGAAATTCAAAACGAGGATAAGATGCATTATCTCGTTCAAGCTACCGTACCCGGTACGAGACCATTGGATATTGTAAACAGCTTCCCTGCAACTGCCGAAAATTATGAAAAAGTTATAGAAAGCTTAAAAAATAGGTTCGGCAGGGAAGAATTGTTGGTAGAATTCTACATTCAGGAATTATTAGGTTTGATTATTAAAAATGTCACTGATCAAAAGAGAAAATTTAGTATATCAGAATTGTATGACAAGTTAGAGTCGTATTTACATTCGTTGGAGTCAATAGGAATGACAAGCGATAAATAAGCTGCAATGCTGTTTCTGCTTTTGGAATCTTGCATTCCAGAGGAAATTTTACGAGTTTGAATTAGAAATTATGCATCAATAATTACAGCAGAAAATTCTCACTCTGAGAAATTGAAACAATTATTATTGTTTTTAAAAAATGAAGTGGAAAGAGAGCAGAGAATTTCTTTGGCAAAAGCTGGATTTAAATTAATTGATTCGGGTGCCAAGAAAGAAAGTAGAAAAGATAAAAAGTGCCAGAGTGAACATTTCGTGCCTACAGTAAATGATTTATTCTCAAACCAAAATAAAGCAACCAATTATAGTGAGAAGAATTCTTGCATATTTTTTGAAAATTTTCATGAAAGTCGAGATCGCTTTGTTGCTCAGAAGATGCC